CTGTTTCATATACCGTTAGATTGTCTACGAATTTTACCTCGTCTTACAGTTCCAACCCACAGTAGATTAGAACAATTTAAAATACAGACACTTCCAACATTCGATTCGTATGTATGTAATTAATTGTAGCATAACCTGATGAATTTTTTATTAAATTAACTGTGCCTGTATGAATTGGCCGGGAAACTAAAGGTCCAGTTTGATTGTAAATGTTATATTTCGTCTTTTCCAAACTTACACTATATACCCACTTACACTACTCAATATACACTATATACCCACTTACAGTACTCATTGTTATTATTGTATATCAGAACTCTCGCCATACATGGTGTATTCTCCATATAGAGTTCAAGGAAAAGATGATAGGCATAAAAGAGTGCTAGGAATTAGATATTGCTAAGGTAGTTACTAGTATGAGTCCGAAGTTCGCTTGGCAACAAACATGCTTTTATTTTGATATAGGGTAGACTACCGGCAAGGTGGATGGCAATCGAGTCTTTGCAAGAAGCCAAGTATACATCAAAGAGTGATGTGTATGTATATGGCATTATTTTGCACTATTTGTTAATATGGAGTAGCTATACATGGGTCTTCACTATTCCTGCATGCATGATTGATTGCGTAGAAATCGCTATCATATCAGGGAATGTTACAAATATGACTAAAAGCCTGAAAAAGTCTTAGAAAAAGTGCCACCTGAAAAGTATATGCCTTATGACTGCATCTGAAAATCATGCCTCGAATTATTAAAGATCGATAGGAACTATGGTTTTCAAGTTTCAAAAGCCTGGTACTTTATTTCACTGATTTTCTATAGCGGCTGGAGTGCGTCGATGAAACATTAATCGACTCGTTCGACTGCAACAGGTCAAGAACGTCCATTTCCTTTACACATGCAGACTCTATTCGCAGAGTCTACGCGAAGGCTATCAATGCATGGCATTGTTAACGAGTTCAAATTGTAACAAATTTCCATGGCCAGAAATCACGGGCATAATTTATTCTACTTCCTTACTAATTTGCATATCACTTTAAAGTATGGCTCCAACAGTATATAGTAGATTGTACAACGCGATGTTGTAAACGCAAAATCGGAGAGTATGGTAGATCCCTTGCAATTTGCTGCATGCAATCGCTGGTTGCAAAACAAAGCCTGTCGAAGAATTTAGTGTAATATTAGCCTGATTTAAGCTACAACCATTCCTGCTTTTTCTATATCTGTACACAGGTTAATTTTTAACTATACATTTGTCTATTTAACTCTATATAAAAATACCGCACTAGGAATAAACTAAAAAGCAAGAAAAACAACGACTTAAACTAGGCCAAAATTACACTAGATACATCGACAAACTTTGATTTAGCACCAGCGATTTCGGCAAGTTGCAAACGATCTACCATATTCTTAGATTTTGCTATTTACCTCATCGCGTTGTACAATCTACTGTTCACAGTTAAAGCCATATTTCAAAGTGATATGTAAATTTTTATTGAATTAGAATAAATTATGTCCGGGATTTCTGGCCATGCTTAAATTGACCAAATCCTGTACACCAAGCGCGCGCACATGCACTAGTTAATCATGTGCCAGTATGGTAGAATGTTACCCCGCGTCAAGCATGTGAATGAAAATCTTAGTATTATATAATATGTTACTTAAAATTTTGTAGATGGTCGTTTGGTGTCCTCATGTGGGAAATTGAAACAGCAGGTTTGTTGACGTCATTATTCGTAAAACCCCTGTATTCTAATAAAATGGAAGGGTCATTGTAGAAGCTCTGAAACGCAACTACATGCTCTGACTTTCGCGCCAAAAGCCTTGAAAAACTTCCCAAAAAAACTGCCCAAAATGTTTGAAAACCTAACGATACTCAGAATACGAAAATGGATTGCATCATGCTGTATAAAAGACTTCATATACTAAGCACGATATGTACACCAGAATTGACAACATTTGAGAGAAATGCAACTGAAAGTCAGAAAGTTATCGCTCGCTTCGGACTCGGGTCGTTTTCAAGACCTCGGGCACAGCTTTTCTCATCGAGACCTCGCAGCCGGTAAATAGCATATATGTATTTTACTTTAGGAATGGTTCCATATGGTGGCGTTGAATCCCTTGAATTGTTAGGATATTTGCTGCGTGGTAGTCGATTGGCCAAACCGTCCGAAACTGCTCCTGAAATGTAAGTTTGCTACTGTTTCTTGTAACAAAGTGACCATTTTTAATATTGTTGGCGCTGCTTCTCATGCCGTGGCTTATATCTGCCTAACAACTTCTATATTAATTTCCTGCTCCAATATGTATAACTTGGTCGATCATATGAAAACGTATATGCTATATAGCCATTCAATATTTTGGGGTACTATCATTGCTACAAGATGTGGGATAGAGGGCTCGAATTTTCCTGTCTGAAACACTGTGATTGTCACTATTAAAATGTCTGGCAACAGGTTGGTTGGCATCATTACCAATACTCATGACCAAATACATCTGATTTATTTTTTGTCACATGATCGCTTTTATATTCACTAGTATAAAAGCACATGTATTTTTCCGATCTACGAGTTAGAATTGGGGTTAGGGTCACATGGAAGTTACTGTCTAATAAATGGGCGTGGTCGTTGGAAAAAAGTGGGCGTGGCTCGAACTCCAAAATCTTAACTCTGCGATAGAATTCTCCATGTAATAACTCCCCTTTAGCCGTTCCTGCGTATTAATTAAAGTGAACAAAATGCATGAGCATCGTAGCCCATATTCTACAGTAACATGCAAGAAACAAGATTTTGACTCCAATAATAAAATACCAATCCTGGAACGCAACACAGTTATCCTGGAACGCAACACAGTTACCGCATGTACCATGATTCTTTACGGCGTTTTTCTTAATATTCCAATTGCGTATAGCGTTCTGGTAGTTGTGTTGTGTACATCCGCACATTTAATGATTTTGCTATTCACAGGCGCTTCATGTTTCACTTCAAATTACAAACTGTGAATAAATGTGTGAAATCAATGGTCTTTGATTTCATACAGTAATAACGAATTTTGACTTCATTTGTAATATTTACTGTTTTCAGATACAAGATAACGGCATCATGTTGGGAAACCGATCCTGATTCGAGACCGTCGTTTAATGAGTTAGTTCCAATATTGGAGAGACAAGTTGAGGAAGGCTCGGTGAGATGAATTAACTTAACCTATAACTTCAATCAATAGCCCATAATCTTGGAGAAAGTCCGTAGAACGAGAAAGATGGCAAGCATGTTTTAGAATTCATAGAGTTTCCTGGCCTTTTTCACATTTAAAACTCCCCAGTACATCCCATTCAATGTTTTCTACCTAGTTCCAGTGGCGTGGTGGTGCAAACTTTCCAACCCCCCCCCCCCCAACCCACACCCCCGGTTTTTCT